AAAAAAAACAAAGCTTTTGTGTAATAGTGAAATATGACCAACTTTCCTCTGTTATTGTTTGGGTATTACTACAAAAAGTAAGGGTTTTTATTTCAAAAGGGGGATGTTAAGACAAATCCAGATGTTGTTCACCCACAGTGTGCCTCATCATGTGTTGCAGTAGTCAGAAGGGAAGTGAGCAATAGTTTTAAAGTTTAGTAAAAAAATTAATTCCACCCTCTCACAGAAACTGGGATTTAAATGAAATGATGGCTTCCTATCCATTTTTTCACATTATATTTAGTGGTAATGCAACACTCCACAATTCCTGAATAGAATGAACTAATGGGATACTTCCATATTTGGTTCCACCCAAAAATTTCCAAAGAACAACAACAAGATATCAGCCAGTCATGTTACCTGTTGCTCTAATATATCTTCACAGAAGTCATGCCTTCTAAAAATGTTCAACAATTCAGGCATCTTATTAATGTATCCATCCATTTGCTTCCGCTTATCCTTTTCAGGGCTGCAGGGGGCACTCGAGCCTATGCCAGCTGTCATAGGGCGAGAGGCGGGGTACACCCTGGACAGATCGCCAGTCTGTTGCAGGGCTAACACACAAAGACAGACAGCCATTCACACTCACATTCACTCCTATGGGCAATTTGGATTGATCAATTAACCTATCCCTACTAATTGCATGTCTTTGGACTGTGGGAGGAAGCCGGAGTACCTGGGGAGAACCCACGCAAAAGATGCAAACTCCACACAGAAAGACCCCAGCCTGAATTGAACTCAGGACCTTCTTGTGGTGCAACGACAGTGCTAACCACCATGCCGCCGTGCTGCCCTACATGGTGGGGAGCATCACATGTCTGTGTGTTGAAGTATCCTTGGAAAAGATAGTGAACCTTGTAGTGGAAAATCCTTTGAGTGCTCAGTAGACAAGTGGGGTGACCGTGGCTCAGGGGGTTGGGAAGCGTATCTTTTGTTGCTTCTGCTCCAGACACATCTGGCCAATAAGCAGGCTGAACACTCTTACGTGGCTTTTAGTGATGTAATTTGAGCCACTTGGATTTATTCATGTGTAAAAAAAACCAAAACAAAACAAACCACGGGGAAAAGCTACAAGTTTACAAACTCATTAATGCCTTTGGAGCAGATTAAATGAATTATAGGTGGGAAAAAGTCCTTAGATCACTCCCAGGAATTCCCTTTATAACCATTTCCAATGGCGCGTTTGGCATTATCACCTGCATTGTGTCAACTTAGGGAAGGATAACTGTGAGGGATCCAATCCTGCAACTAGTATATGTACCATGAGCAAGCCCAGCATGCCACAGTTCAGGTCCTCTGTTCTCAGTGTTCCTCTTGAGGCCTTTCAGGACATTCAGTAAAACTGAGTTTGGCAGTCCGACTGTAGAATTTGAATCTAAAGTTCAGAAATCTGTGATGCCCCCGATCCTAACCTTCTAACCTTCTTCAGGATTGGTAACTTTGGGCTCTTTTACTGCTGTTTGGTCTCTGGGTCACAGCTGGACACCAGGCACTTATCACCAGTTACGATCCTCGAAGGTCGGGTCAGATTGAAACTGATATTTGCAGAAGTTGGAGGTATGTAACAGTCTTTAGAACTTGACCTCCAGGGAGTGATCTGAAAATAGCACCAGCACTCGAACTGGTTTAGACCTGTGCAAGGATATGACCTTGAAGGGAACAGTGGTAAAAACATTAAGTCAGATAATGTTAAAATATTATATGTAATATGCAAATCTTCTGAATAATTGCTAAGGTGCCATAGTGAAGCTCAGATTTTGAGAGTCATGCAAATGCTTGACTGGTAGAGGCTGTCTTTCACTTTTATTTTTGGTTACAAGGTATTATGTTGCTGAGTGACGGTAGCACTGGCTAGCCATGGCACACAGCAGTGTACATACCAAACACAATAACTCGGATTCACAACGACAGTCAATTGACAGTTAATTCCACATAGAAAGGCCCAAGACTGGATTTGAACCCAGGGCCTTCTTCCTGCGACCTTCTTGCAGAGCAAAACACTGCGCCACCATGCCGGCTGCTTTATCATCTGATAATAATGTGAGTGTGTTCTGTAGCTGTTCTGCATATTAACATCCCTTTATAAGAACATTACAAAAGCTTTAGAGTTACAAATTCTCCTTGCCTTTATACAAGCTTCCCCTCTGAGACTATTTGACAACACAGTGCTGCCAGCTGACATCTAACTCGCTAATGAGTAAGAGTGAACTTTTCAAGCACTTGTTATTGAAAACGTCCATGAAGGAGCAACATTGATCCATATTTGGCCACTTTCCATCAATGCAAGGCAGACAATTTAATGCCAAGGCTGCCAACCAACAAATGCCACTGTGCAAATTGTTACATGTTAAGTAACATAATACCTCAGATTCTCAGGATTGGAAGATTGAAATTTCCCTTTGTGACCAGTCACACAGGCATGGAGACTGGTTAGTGACTGCCTGGTAACAGCCAGTAAATAGGAAAAAAATAAGCGTTACTCCACCAGCCTTACTCCCCAAGGTTGCTTGCAGTCACTAGGTAAATTTGGTCACAAAAATGCAAACAAGGTTTCACCAAAAAAACCTCCCTGTAATTGCTTCGGTAGCAGATTGTATTGAAGATGCCCAAATTGCCTGCAAACACAACAAGTGGATATTATACATGGTTATGCTCAGGATATGTCAGCCCATTTCTACTTGAAATGCCTTTTGGTTAAACTTTCAGCAAGGAATTTGCATTTGCACTGTTACATTTTTATAAAGCTTTAATGCACATAAATAACAGCTGCATGTTTAAGTGAAAATAAATGGATGGGGGTTTTTGCGCTAGTAAAGTTGTGGAGTTGTATTTTGTCTCGCACCAATTATATCGTCAGTTATATAGTTATCGCAAATTTTCAAATATATGTCGTGATAAATATTTTTGGCCATATTGCCCTGCTCTAATACTGACCACTGCAGACCGGGAACACCCCACAAGAGCTGGAGATTTAGAGATGCTCTGACCCAGTCGTCTAGCCATCACAGTTTGGCTCTCATCAGACTTGCTCAAATCCTCATGCTTGTCCATTTTTCCTGCTTCTAACAAATCAACTTTCAGGGCAAAATGTTCGCTTTCTCCCTAATATATCCCACCCACTAACAGGTGCTGTGATTAAGAGATAATCAGTGTTATTCACGTCATCTGTCAGTGGGCATTATGTCATGTCTGATTGGTGTAGTTGTTACCACAGTCGGGTTCATAGTCAGTACTGGTATCAAGGGCAAAAGTCCTAATTCACACACTCAAAGGCTTTTTCATTAGATGGGTATTCACAAGGTTACATCATTACTGCCCCTTGCAATCAGGCAGAAAGCAGGACCAATCAAGGATTACGTCACCAATGTGGATCAATAGCTTGCTGCTCTTTAGCACTGTCACTACAGGTGATTGGTTTCCAGTCACGGGACAAGGCAAAATTTTATTATTAGTATTGTTATTTCGCTACAATTTGGATAGTTAAAATATTTCTTAACTATGGGGAGTTGTACCTGTGGTTTTCCTCAGGTCCACAGCTAGAACAACCTTTTATTTTAATCAGAAATTCTGCTTTGATGTGGCCTTCCTTATGCAGAGATAATGAGTTAATCCCTGTGATAGGGAAATTGAGTGGGATTGCTAATTATGCAGTTAATGCTGTGGAAAGAATTGGGGAGATAAGAAATTGAACAGCAACGCTCCCCAGGTGAGACGCAGGTGGGTATGCACATCTGTAACTGCTCGTCCATGTGGGAAAACACATGTGCTTTTGTGCGTGTGTGTTAGAAGGTTGCAGCACACGCATGAACGTACATGCGGGCCAATATCCATACACGTGTGTGCATCTTTTATGTACATTTGCCATCAGTGGGAAGTAAAGAGTCATTATGAAACAGATGCTCCACAGGCCCTCTGCGAGCTGTACTTAATACGTCTTACGGAAACTCATCAGTGGGTCTCCGCAGTCCCACATAAACACACACATAGCCACTCAGTTTACGGTAATATTGCACATTTTAAAACTTCAAATTCATATTCACATCCAGTTTTAGTTACAAAAAAGTCCTTCTGTGACAGCCCCAAAAAAGAAAAGGGGAAATAAATAATGATGTGTTTCTGCATACATTCTCCATTTCTTCTTTTAAGTTCCTTTAGGTCACAGTAGCACTATTAAATTTAGAAGTAATTGCTATTTTCATTATGGATTAATCTGCCATTCATTACATGGCAAATTACTTGTGAGATTCATTGTTTAGCCTACAAAATGTCAGACAATGTTGCTCAGAAGTTAGAAGGCCCCAACTCAAGCTCTTTAAACTGTTTTCTCTGAGCAAGGGTCAGAACCCCAAATGCGTTCCACTCGACAATAGCTGACAAAGTTTGGTAAATGCAATGTTTGTTGACACTGGCTTGTTTCTGTTTTCTGACTGATGCTCTCAACACCTACATTGCTGTTATTAATGCAACATCGTTTCTTCCTTTCACACTCATCAACACTTACGCCAATTAACTACTTTCCCATTCTGTTGGGTACCCTGAGCGAACCCTTCTTCAGCAGCCCAATTTACCCACCCCTCTGTCCTTCCCTCCTTCACCCGCCCACACCAGATGGCGAAGGGATAGATCCATCATCGCTTGTGAGGAGTGTCACGTCCACTGCCCATTTCAGCGTAACGCAGTGCCTCTGGGCGTGTCCGTGCCAGCCCCCGTGCCAGGGTTCGCAGGCATGTCAGCTGTTGCACCTCGAACGTGCCGCAGCTGCAGATGCTACTCATTTGCAGGTTAATGTATTTTGGGGGAGAGCTGTGTCAGAGCGCCCGTGAGTGAAGCAAGCCAGCCATCCAATTAGAGCAGAACAGATTAGGGGAGCTTTTTACATTGCAAAGTAAGAGCGACGAGCCTCTGGTGGCTCAACATGTAAAAGCGTGGTTCAGAGTGAGGCCGGAGAAGCAATTTCCCACCGTGAAAATCTTGTTGTTGTTCTTTGTGGTGGTCCGTCTCTGGCAGGCATATTGAGACACCGTGGACACGGGTGTGGGTGTTGTAGCTTCTGGCGATGCAGCCAAGGTGTCCTGTGTGCAAAAGAAAATAACCGGAGAAGCATGAACCAAACACGCACTGTCATAAAGTGCGTTAATTTCTCAGCCCAAATTGTTGACAGGCTAAATGTGTAAATGTGTGTGAGGCTATTCCTGACGAGCGCAGAGCCAAGAGTTCAAATTGAATTACATAAAAACGTAGCCATTTGCCTTGGAGAAGTTATTTTTATGACTGTGTCTCCAGGGCAACAGGCTAATGACACTCATCTCACAGTCTGGTGGCATCCAAATCCATTATGCTGCCTAACCCGTGGCATTACAAATCTGCTTGCCATCATCCAATTTGCCTCCTGTAAATTGCCTTTTCATTCTATAAGAAATGGTTTCCCATTTGTAATATATGTGTCAAAAGGATTACCAATGTAATATTAATATTCTTGGAGACAATTAGACATCACAAAAAGGGAACATTGTGTCCATAAAATTGCCTGTGGATTTGGCAGGAGAGTGACACAGAGAGGGGAGGAAGAGGAGGAAGAGAAAGATGGAGGAGATTGTCACCACAGAGCGTTGACTGGTACCGATGCTGCAGGAGGAACAGTGGCGTCTTGAACAGATAATGAAAAGGAGTAGTACCTCTCACACTCCTGGGCTGCATCAACAGCTAAGGGATTTTTTTTTTTTAAAAACGTTCATCATTTATTCTCTGCCAGGAGCCTTTCCTGTTCTTCAAAAAAAAAAAAAAATTGAATAACTTTGAATATATTTCACGGTGAAAATTTTCTGCCAATCAAAAGTGAAACTCTCTAACTGTTTTCCTTCTAAATACAACACGGGTGTTCTTCATCACTTTTCCACCTCAGCTGCAGCTCGTTTAATCCAATATGAGACTGTGGGTCCATGGAGACCCAAAAAAAAAAAAAAGCGGCTGTGCATCAGCATGCAGAGGTTGGTTCCCCCCCTCCCATCTGGGCTCGGTTATTACACAGGCCTTTAACTGTGTGGAAGTTAAAGCTCACACACTGATCTCAGAGGCGCCGTATCCCCTCCTGGCTTTCTCTCCAGCGTTCTCTCCACTTTTGCTGTGTGGCTTTAGATGTTACTAAACTAATGTGTGCAGTCTGCACACTGGGGCCTCATTTCTTCGCACACCATCTGCTGAGATGAAAAGGTACGGCAAGAATCGCAGAACCTCTACGCTGTGAAGCGTAGAGACACTTCCGGGCCTGCTCCTCCCCTCCACGTTAACGTCTGTCACACGGTCAGATGAGGCCACTTGGTTGAGTTAATAAAAGCCACTTGATCCAACGTGCACCACAAAGGTCACAGAGGTCGTACCTCATAAGGGAAACTGCTTGGCCTTTTGCGCACACGCTAACCCACAAACATCATCCCCAGCCCACCTATCTCCTAAGCATGAAGGCAGACACACGTTCACAATCTCCCTAGCACCTGCTTCCACTTTTATTCCTTTTGAAGCAAACTATCCTCACATCTTACCACATCTCCACTCAAACACACTAAACAGCTTCTCTGCGAGCCAGGAAGTAATAGAAAATATTACATTTCAATGGGCTCAATACTTAAAATTCCTCCCTGACTTGCTGCAGAATATTTATGATAGCGAAAAACACATTGCATCTTCAGACTATCATGACGAGCCGCAGGCAAATGTGCCCAAGAAGTAGCCTGTTTGGGGAATATTTTATCTCCTCCTGGTAGCTCCTTAAATGGATTTATCACTCATAAAAAACAATCTACTGGAAGCACCACACGCATAAATGCCACTGCGCGTTAACTCGTTTGCTTCAGAGAGGAGCTGCATCACAAAACAAGCAAGAGGAACGGGGCCTCGCCGGTTACCTGGGGAGATGGGTCAATAAATGTCAGCGTGGCATCATTAGCCTCGTCTCCTAATGACGCAGTAAGACAAGAGTCGTGCCATTGATGCGCCACGCTTACGTGGGCCCCGAGGAAACACTGCCACAGCAGTCTCTCACGTGGAGGCACAAACACGGCAGATTTCATTGTGACCATTAAGGCCGTCACAGGCTGTTAGGAGAAAGCATAGATGGAGCCTGGCAAACTGGCAGAACTTGACTGTGGGGGGGGTTTTTTCGCTTTGTTTTGTTTTTTACCCCTCCTGCTCCACGGTGGAAGAAAAAGAAGACAGCATATTTCTTTATTTTGGATACATATGCCGCCAAGCTCTCGTAGAGCCATTCACAGGGGGAAAATATGTGCGTCTGTGAGCATGTGTATGTGCCTGTGTTAGTGGGCTGCTCTGAGCCCTGACATCCAGCTGATGGGTTCATTTGACACTCCTACGCAATATGGAGGATGTTTCTCTTGCTATCAGCGAGGTGAAGTGCAGTAATATGAGCAGAGACAGAGGGAGAGTTAGTGTCCTTTTTATATGAGCTCCCTGTTAGGGGGTTGACGTTATAGATTTGCAGTGGCAGGAAAAACCTAAATGCAATATATCCAATGTATACCTTCACAATATGAGTGTATTTCTTTTCTTTTTTTTTCAATGTATCACATTAGTCCACACACAAATCTTTTTTACGCACAAACAAATTCTTTTTACACATACAAATCCTGATTTACAAGTACAAAGCTGATTTGCAAGTTCAAATTATTTATGGCCACATTTTGAGCCCATACAACAGACCGGCAACGCATTTCAACGGACCAGTAACCCATGGCAACGCATGGCAATGCATGGCAACGCATGGCAACGCATGGCAATGGACCGGTAACCCATGGCAACCCATGGCAACGCATGGTAACGCATGGTAACGCATGGCAACGGACCGGTAACCCATGGCAACGCATGGCAACGGACCGGTAACCCATGGCAATGCATGGCAACGGACCGGTAACCCATGGCAACGCATGGCAATGCATGGCAACAGACCGGTAACCCATGGCAACGGACCGGCAACGGACCGGCAACGCATGGCAACGGACCGGCAACCCATGGCAACGCATGGCAACGCATGGCAACGCATGGCAACGGACCGGTAACCCATGGCAACGCATGGCAACGGACCGGCAATGGACCGGCAATGGACCGGCAACGCATGGCAATGCATGGCAACACACGGCAACGGACCGGTAAGTTGTTTTTCAGTACGTAATCATATCCGGTTTTGTTTGTAGTGCCATCTAGTGCTAAACACTTATTAGCCATTGTGCCTGATTTGCAACACACAAACCTGTATAAGGTGTCTGGTCTCCACAGCAACAGGTTTCCCCTCTCTCATGCTGTCAGTGAACCAGCTGATGTCCAAAACGTGCATGACGGGCAGATTCTTCACAGGCCCTCCTTTTAGCCACGCCCAAAGAGATGAGGCCTGGCTATCCTCCGACACCACGTGAGTCACCACATCGCTGTGGGGAAGTGGAAAAAGAGCCGTTTCAGAGCACGTTTGGCAAATTCTATACAGCGAATGCCGGAATAATATATATATATATATATATATATATATATATATATATATATATATATTTCTGCTCCAAGAATATTCATATTCTCATTTCAGAGACCTTAAAATCTATTGCTTTTTTTTTATTTATTGCAATTGATAAAAAAAAATATGCTACGGTTTGCCCGGGTTGGTTGAAAATAGTATAATGGTGGTGGTGAGAACGAAACACCACAGAACCAAAAGAAACATTTAAAACAAGCTAAAATGCTGAGAGGAACTGCAGAAATCCTGTTATTACATGCAGAAATGCAAACTGTGTCAAAATCTAAGCAGCCTCTTGTGTTTAGGGTTATTATAGTGAAGTAACACTTAACTCAAGACTAAAAATGTAAAATGGGTTTTTAAAACTAATAAACTGTTGGATCCTGTGTAGTATTTTTCTGTAGATCAGGTCATCAAACATATCATATTAGCAAAAGCCAAAACTAACACTGAACTAATAAAAACTCAACTAAAACTGAACAATAAGCGCTAAACTGAAATAGACAAACTAAAACTGAACTGACCTGAACAACTTTTTTCACATTTTTGAAGTGGAAACACTACTTTGTGAATTTTTGGACATGGAAATCACAGATTAACTCAAGATGTGATACTAACACAACACGCTACTTTTGCCCCTCTGAGTTTCTTCTCCTTCACTAAAGGTTAGCTTAGCATCACATTCAATTGTTAAGCACCACCACAGGTTTAATGAAGTCGTGACTCTGGTAAGTTAAATATAAAATATAACATAAATACCTTGCAACAATAGTTTAACTGCAGAATGGCATGGACACTCTGCAACTTTTCTTTTATACTGGAATACAACCAGAATACAACCAACGAATTGCCTATTACAAAGAAGCACATCGCACCAGTGCAGATTGCCTCAGACTGATTGCAACATGATTACAATCTGCCTCTCTGTTTAAAAACCGAATAGCTGTTATTTGGAAACCTTTGCCAATCTGTCTGAGAGTGGTTGCAGTGTGTTCAAATAACAGGCAGCTGTTTGGAGAAAGGTTGCCTCCCACCAGGTGACCTTTGCAACACTTTAAACCAGGGGTGTCAAACTCCGGTGCTTGAGGGCCAGCATCCTGCCTGTTTTTGAGATATCCCTAATTTGCATGTTATCCAAATTTGACCAAGAACCAGTGACATATCATCTTTCATGAATTTTAGCTAATCTTTGACAAACATTTTCTAACCACAAACAACAACAAAAATCACAAAAGCAAATGTCAAAACTGAACGACACGGGAGCTTTCTGGGACTTTTTATGGATTAGTAGGATTGCTTCACGGGATGCCTTCATCTTATTTGATCGAAAGGTTTCCTTCGCTGCTTGTCTTAACAAAAAAATGTTCACGTCTAGGACTCGGCAGCTTTTAGAAAGAGCAAGGGGTGCAAGCGAAGCTTTTGAAATGCAGCTCAGATGTCAGCATTGCAGTCTAACTTGTGTCATTCTGGGATCGACACTGGGTAAACAACAATCACCACAGACCCCCAGTGCCTCTCTCGATTGTTTGATAGCTGAACTCGTTCAGCCAGTGCATCTCCACCGAGACCATCTCAACAGGCTTTTTATCAAGGCCTCCTCCCCTGTGCTTCCTGCCTCAGAATATACAACCAAACCCAATCAGGCTGCCCAGCTGTGCATAATCACACTCGGCATGCTCCTCCTCTTCTTCTTCTCTCTTAGCATGGATAAAACGGTGGAAAGACTCCTTATGGGAGGTCCCAGCAGAGCTCAGACTGAAGCCTAATTGGTCAAATCACTGGCAGTCTGGCCACTGATTGTTAGTGTTTTGCAGAAAAATCCTCCTTGTCCTCAGTGCAAAGACATGCTGAAGGAGCTTCTCAAACAGACACATTTGAGCGGCACAACTATGATCTCCAAAGGCTCAACGTGAATGATTGTCTAACCACAGTCATCAATATTTGGCTCTTGGGTTGCTTTCTCTCAAAAATCAAAGTGGTTTGAATTGTCTATTTGGACCGAGACTTAAGATTATGAAGAAAAAAAACACTCTTTTCCTTCAAACTATGTTTGTATATCCCCAAAATTCAGACCCTTATCTTAATATGTAGCTGAACAGAATGTGAAATGGCAGATTGACATGCAAATGAGCAAGAAAGCAAAGCCAGAACCAGACTGTTCTTCCCTGAATCACTGGGACTCTGAGCTCAGACACAAGGACAGGCCAAAGTCAATGGGCTTTGATATGGAGAACTCTCTTGAGTCATCTTTGTGCCCAGTTCCTGTCAGCAGCTTCCCTCTGTCCTTTCCAAAAGTGAAAACAAGCTAATCAAAGACTGCGAATGCCCGGAACAGACTTTTACACCACAGTGAGGTTTTTGTTTGCATATACATGATCAGTAGTGCAATATATTTTCATTATAATGATAAAATAAATGCATCAAAGAGATAAGCTGTGGACTTGGCTAATTTGATTTAGAGTTTTATCTAACTTGTTTGTTGATAAGAAGCCTAAATAAGCTTTTTAAAATACAAACTGTTATTTTTAACTGAATGAACAGAGGCGTAGTTATGGAGCAGGTCTCTGTACCCACCTAAAAGGAACTATCTGTAATAAAATCTGAAAATAGTCTTGGAGTTCACCATTACGCTTTGTCCATCCAAAAGTCCAAATATCTTAATTATGATCGCTACTGGAAGGAAAATAATTTTTCTTTTATTAATCCACATTTAAAAAGCTGGAGCTCTGAAAGGTTAGTCTTAAATAAAGTATAAATAGATTAGATCAGTGCACTGTATTCCCTGTGGGACCCTGACGCCATGAGAATGGTGTCAACCTTTAAATGTAGGAAATGCACATGAGGAGAGGAAGCTATAAGAGGAAGATATTTTTATAGTACTTTTCAAGCAATGGCAGTTGTTCGAGGCTCTTTGCCTAGTCTGTCTCTGATGGCGAAATGGCCTGAAAATGTCAGCTGACAATATAGTAACCATCCAAAACACAGTGCTCAGTAATATAGTAACTGCAGGGCATCAATCCAACTTATTTATTCAAGAACTATTTGTTGCAAATCTACAATGCAATACAATAACTTTATTTATAGAGCACATTTAAAAACCAACGGTAGATCTAGGTGTGACCTACTCTTAAAACAAAAACTAGTGAAAAATGTTAAATGTATTGCTAAAGTAACTCCTGCCATCACTCCAAATAACTGACAACTTTTTTTATATAAATAAAAATATCTCTTATTGAAATAAAAGCTGGAGAGAAGCATAGTAATTGACCAAGCCATGACTTCCAAAGTGCATTTCAAGAACACACGATACAGTATATGTAGTTGTATGACAATAACTTTTAAAAAGAGACTACACTCAACCCAGCTGCCATCACCACCTCCATGCTCCTCGATTCATTTATGTCCATATCTTTTTGGATGTTGACACAACTTTTGTAGTTTTGACACAAGGAGGAGAGAGAAAGACTGGGAAGCACTGCAAAACTGTAGTATAGCCGCAGAATTCCTCCTGCTACCTTGTATCAGCAGCCACATCATCAAGAAACACTAGAGATCCAGTTCCACATGCTAGTCGTACATGCCCTTTCTATACCCTTACCATTTTTAACAGATAATGTGGTATGCTTCAGATCATGAGACGTTTCTCTCCTTTTCCATACCTTTCTCCTTTTCCATTTTTGGTAAATCTCAGTTGCAACTGCCAAAACCATTGTCCAATTACTTTTGAGCCTATGAAAGTGGCGGTAAGTCTTAAACAGCACTGCTAATATAGCGCTTTTGTTGCCCGAAGTTAAAAATTCTCAAATTCAATTGCATACAAATTGTTTGATTTAAAATCCAGTGTGGTAGTGTACAGTGAAAACAAATAAATGAATAAATGTGTTAGTGTCCACAAAAAAAGTAACAAAAAGAATGTGAAGGTAGCCTGCGAAGTGATTGCTAGCTTGCTAGCTTGACGTGGGTGTCGAGGTAAGGCTTTCATTGGGAATGAAGGTTCAGTGGGAGGGAATAGTTAGTAGTGGAACTCGGGTAACATATGTTAGAATACGAGCATACGATAAATATTGATGCATATTGAGCTAAATGTTTTTAATTCTCTGCCACTGATTTTTGTTTTACAGCAGCTGCACCAAAGGCTCACGTGCACAGTCACATCTAGGGTTGCCAACTCCCTGAAAAATAAATAAGGGACACCTCGTGGCCAGGGCCGGGCGACCCAGTTGTCTTCACCCTTCCCAGTGTGGTGAATTTTCTAGCTCTTTTTTTGTGTGTGAAATTATTTTTTTAACCATTTGACTTGAAGTTGATTTAAGTACATGCATATTCTTTGTGATATGAACACATGTGAAACAAATGATCATTTAGCCATTTATTTTTAGCTCAAAATGACAACATTAACACAGTAAAACAGGTCTCTTTCTTAAACAGAAGCCTGTCATGCTTAACTTTTGAGAATATAAGTAAATCTTTCTTTAAAAGCACTCTGTCCTGCTTAACTTAAAATAATAGAAAACAATAGAAAGAAAAATATTCTTGTAACAGTGCACATTTAGTGCATTTAGTACAATTGGCTTCAGTTGAGGTATTATTTCAGCTTTTCTAATGCTAATCTGCTGCTCCTGTTTGCAAACCCGCTTGTTCCCATGATTACACATCTTAACTCATCATCATTATTCATCTATGTATTACTTTTATGTATTAGTCATCTATTTGTTGTAATCATCTATCGTTGCAGTTGTTTATTACACAAAATAAATTATATTATCACACTTCTGGCCACATAGCGCTGATATTCACTGCACATGCCCATATTAACTTTTTCCAGCCAGGTGTTTTCCTTTTCCCATTCTTCCCTTTCTCTGAGGGGAACAAACATTGTTGCTCTAATGCTGGGCTTACACTGTGCGGTTTTTGGCCCATTTTGAGCCGATTTTTGAGTGATCGGACCGATTTTGGCCTTCGTCGTGTAGTATATGTGGGGTAACGAGAAGCGATTAACACCTCACGACCAGCTCCCGATCATCAATCGCTCGTGAAGGTGTCACCACAGGCGCTCACACTGCTCACGCGCAAACACGTAAACGTCGGTGAAAAAGACGGAGCAGCACAGCAGTGCAGCGTGTGATCTGGACACAAGCGATGGAGGCACAACTTGTAGAACTTCGAAAAGGCTCGGATGAGCTTTCCAATGTGGCCTCAAAAAATGATCACGACCACAACAACCGTGAAAATAGTTGGATTTACATTGCTGCTCAATCACAGCTGCCTGATCAATTTTTTTCATTAGCAATTTAGCAAAGTTGATGGTGGTGGTGTGTGTCTGTGTGAGTGAAAGACAGAGAGAGAGAGCGACAGATTTTCTGTTATAACCTTCATGTTATGGAGGCACAGTGTGAGCACTCAGGTCGCATCAGAGCATCGGGCCGTATAGTGTGAGAGTACATCGTGACCTACCAACGTCTAACCCCTGCGAGTCAATCGTGCAGTTTGAGCAGGAGCTGAATAACGTGACTGAAAAAATCGCACAGTGTCTGCCCAGCTTTGGGTGTACTGTCGTCCGAGACTTGCACCGCAGTGTCAGCGTTTGTTTCCCTGTTGGCCATGCTTGTTGTTGTTATTAGCTCAATATGGGACGTGTGCTTTTGTTTCTAAATACGGGACGATTCCGTTTTTTAAGGGACGGTTGGCAACCCTAGTCACATCCAACATCATATCTAACTGCTGTGACAAATTCAAGGATAAAACATCGTTCCTCAGAAAACAAAGCGTTTGGAAAATGGTGCCTATGACCTAAACTTATGGGGTAAGTACGTGTCTGTGTGTGTGCATGTGTGTGTGTGTGTGTGTTATTCCCATTTGCGAAACAGCATGTAATGCAGCTCATTAGTCACCCAGGACAAACATGTCAATATTTTGATCCATGTTCATGCGCGCAGGACTTGAAATTCATACAGTGTGGAAACTTCTGTGCATGTGCGTCGTGTGATTGTGTGTGTCTGTGTGTACGGGCGTGTTCCTTTATGCTCGGAGGAAAGCAGGCAGCGCATCTGACCATATGCTGGAGGCAGCCTGCCTATAACGTGTGTAAGACTAGGCACGTGAGGTGTTGCTATCAAACTGCAGCTGATAGCAGTTTTGTCGGCTTGCAGAATTAATGTCAGTTTGAGGCGGGCACGCTCTACTTCCTGTCGTTGGTTTCAAACAATTGTATCAAGCCAAGTGTAACCGTAGGAGCGCTCAAGCTGTGTTTCTGGGAATGCTGCCATGGCCAAGCTGGTGCACGGCTGGCAGGCCTACTTAGACACGCATTTAAACATGCTCTCTCTGTCTCGCGCACAAACACACACAGGCTCTTACGCTGGTTATAGCATACTCATTGGGACCCTTTGCCTAAACCCTGTACATACACCCTACATCATATGCTCAACTTCAACCATTTTGCAACCTTGAGCTAATGTTAACTTAGAAGGAGAAATTGCCCTCACTTTACATGAAAGCAAAGCAATGAAAAACACAAACAAAAACACCTGCTCACCAGAGGAGCTCAAACTCTGAGCTTAACGCCCAGCACTGAAAACAAAGTCGACTTCTAAATAACGGGATGTTGCGTTAACAAAGAAGCCTGACTCTAAAGCATCTCTGGTGTCAAGCGGAGGACTTCTGCTGTGCTCACAGTTTGGGACTTTAAAAAGATACTTTCAATTAGAGGCAGAAAAAACGACGGAGGCACGCTGCGTCTGTAATTACCGTGCAATAGATGAATCATCATCCCAAGGAACAAGCTCACAGAACATCTCTTCTTTAGTGAGACTTAACAAAAAAAAAACTTTCACCAAACTCATTAAAAAGTTTGCGTGTGCTCTGTTACCTTTCTTCTATTGTTTGTAGTTCTCTGGCTGCCAACAAGCTGCAGCTGGTTTAGCCAATTTCTTGCCCCTGCTTTTAACGTATTTATGTGTGGAGCTGTGAGTAATGGCTCAGGGGGGGGAATCCACTAAGGTGTAGAGGAAGCAGGATGGATGCCCTAACCCTTCTTAATTAACTATTCATGAGACAATAGTCGCTCTCTATTTAGCTAATTGGACCATAGCTTCTAAGAAAAAAAGAAGTTTGCAGGAAAGTGTCAAAAAGTAACTTTGGATGTCTCAGTGTTGAAGTCCTGGCATGTTTTTCCCACTCCAATCAGTCAAAAATTCTGTGAACAGGCAATTATTCCACAAAATTGTAATTGTATTTTTTTTTCAGATTATAATAAAACTTTTTGTAGGCATGGAAAGTATTTAATTTTGAAGTCATAAGCTTGACTGCCAGAAAATGCTTCTGCTGAATGCTTCTAGGGTTAAACTAGAGGCCTCAAAAGTCAACCGCCAGGTCAAACCACTCTGTTTGCTTCCAGCAAATACAAACCCAGAAAATAAAAGTGTACCCACTCCCCTCCTCCCCTTACACTAAAGCTCTTTTCAGCTTCACATTGAGAAAAGCTTTTAGGTGGCAAGCCCTGCTAAGTCTGTGAATGACACAAATGGCAAGCTTTTTTTTGGTTCCCAAACCTGAGGACGTCTTCCACAATAAAGCCCTTTGACCTGGCCAGCTCGGTCAGAAAGCTTCTCCTGCTGCGGCCCATTTTCCTCTCCACCAGGTACAGCCTGACATCCTCAAACTTCACCCTTTCACGCCTGGGAGCGCTTGCTTCGGCCGGCCTTGACCTCTTCCTCGCGCGAGGCACAATAGGAGTGTGGAACATCTCTGAGATGAGCTCTCTAAAGTATTTCTGCACCTCTAGGAATCGCCGCTTTTGTGAGTTTGTGTCGGTGTTGTTGTGCGCCACTTAACTTCCATCCAGGAAAAAAAGAAACACCTACTTTGGTAATGGTGCAGTTGTTTTTTTCACTTGTGGCTCTCTCTCTCTCTTTTTTTTTTTAATATTTGGGAGCAGAGTTGGTGAGAGCTGGCAGACAGGAAAAGCCTCTGGCAACAGGTGTTGAGGATTTGGTGTTTACCAAAAACCACCTGCCAAGATCGAGTGATTGAGGATGTGAGCGGGAGAAAAAAATTTAAAAAAAATTTCTTTTTTTGAAAAACACTGTGCTGACGTGGTATTACTCATTTCCAGTGGAGCATTTTCAACAAACACACACTTGGAGGAAGTAAACAATTACTGATCCAGTAGCTGCTTCTTCCTCTTCTTCTTAAAAAGCTGCTCATAAAGTTTTCATGGACTTTAAATTCTGCTCCTCTCGACTGCCAGCGAGGCCTCTCGCTCCTGGGAGACGCCTGAATTCTGGTCACCTCACAAACCCCTCACAGCTGTCCTGCCATGTCCAGTTCGTCTCGCCACTCACCGTCTCATTATGTCCGGACCAAGCCTGCACCATCTGCTCTGCCGCTTTAATTAGCTTACTGCCTAAAACTGAGAGCCGTTGTGGGCATTTCCCCGGAGAGCCCGCAAGCTCGTGCACGGCCTTTGCACACATACAGGTACTGTATACGCAAGCCGTTGATGATTAGGAGCGTTTATCTGGGGAATACGGCTGCATATGGATCAGACAGAAATGCAGACTGAAAATAGATTTAATCAGCTGAATTCATCTATTCCTTTTGTTTCCAAAGAGGTAATTACAGCATGAGCCGTTGTCTCCTGTTGTTATGATTCCTGTGCTATGGCGGTGAGGAATGTAAAAGAAAAGGTTTCAGCGGGTCTTTGCTGTAATTGTCTGCAATAATGGATCTGCTTCAGTAGACCAAACAGCAATGATTTGTTGATTTAGGCGAGGGTGATGAAATCATTACAGGCCTTTATTCTACATCTAATTACCACAGGCTCTGTTCATTTCGTCACTTTAATAAGCACACCTTGTTTCTGTCTGCTACACAGAAATTATTACACAGATCTCATTACCGCCAAGTTCTGGGGGTTAACGGGTGTCACGGGGCAGACGCCACTAATTGTTTGACTGTTTACCCCCACCCATCCGCCATCCCAATCAGTCAGTTGTATATGAGGGTGCTGGCCCCCATCCAAACGTGAGACCGATGAAATTCTAACATCACTAAGACAAATGGCTCTCACACTGCCAGCAGCAATCGTTGCACGAGCAATGAATCCAATTTCTCTTTCACCTTTCTTGTGTAGCTCCGTGGGTGCAAGAGAAAATTGTCTAATAATTACAATTATGGTGCATATTCAGTTCCATTTAGAAAGGACAAAGTGACAGTCATATCTTGATTTTTTTTAATAGTCTTGTTAGACTATAATAAGCCATTACAAGCACACAAATATTCAAACAATGCATGCTGTGCTCAAAGAAAGTTCACGTACAATACTGGAATCAAAAGAAATACAATAAAAAAGTAGCCAGACCTCCACATATTAGACAGACAGACAGACAATTTGTAGCTAGCAACCTTTTGCAACTTTAACTTAATTTAAGTTTCAAAATACCAGTTTGACATGATGCACTTTGTGGTGACATGTGCATTGTTAGAACCATCAGAACATGGGTGCATGCATGGACAGCGTATGCAGTAATACCCAGGTAGGATTTGGCCTTTGAACAATGCTCAGTTGACACTAAAGGGTCCAAAGAGTACCAGGAAAATATTCCCCACAACATTGCACTACCACCCTGAGCTCTTGATACAAGGCAGGATGGGATACATGCTCCAATTAGCTTAAAACTCGTTTTAACTTCTTTCTGCTAAGACGACAGTATAGTCAGTTTATCAGAATTTTTTAAACTGCACTGCTCTGCTGCTCCAAAAAAATGTTAAAAATGGTTAAAACATACTGAAAAAGCTACACAAGTCTTTAAAAGCTCAAGAACAGCGGAATGGAAGCTCCACTTTCATTCCAGGAAGTGGGTTTTGATGGCCGAGCAGCTGCATCCAAGCCTTACATTACCAGGCCAAATGCAAACCATCAGATGCAGTGGCACAAAGAACGCCACCAATGGACTCTAGAGCAGTGGAGAGATGTTCTCTGAAGTGATGAATCACGTATCTCCATCTGGCAATCTGAAGGACGAGTCTGGGTTTGGTGGTCAGCTGTTATAGCTGCAAACCCTATGGTTTAAAAATAGGATGTTACTGAAGTTCATATGCGTGCGAAGGCATATGAACATTTACGGCAATACAGTGTATCATGCAAATAGCAAATATTAGCAGCAGGCTCTATTAAGTTACATTCCACCACTTGTTCTGTCCATGTCCTCATCTGATATCACTTTGCATTGCAAGAGTAATTGCACTCTAGTCAAATGGCATTGGTAGGATGGCAAGTAGTGATGTCTGACCTGAAAGTATCTCTCCCCCCCACACACACACACAAAAAATATATATATAACAAAAAACGTAATTAGGTTAACTTAAACTTATCAAAGTTTCCAAAAAAAAGCTGAATGAAGGAATGCACTCTATTTGTGGCCATCTTCAGAGAATAATGCAACCTAAAGAGTCTCATGAGTGTAATAAGATCACCCCCTGAAATCAAAATCCTTTATTTAACTGTAAATGAAGCAGGCATGAGCTAGGATGTAAAAAACTAAGTCCCACTGTTATGAAACTTTTGTTTCAGAAGTATTTATATAGAACGAGGAAGTCCCCGCTTCCCTATTCGTTAATGGCTCATTGTATTGTATGGGACAACTTTAAAATTTATGAAGACATAAATTGCCACACCACTTATGGGTTAAGAGAGAGAGAGAGACGGGAAACGTGTGTTGGTTTTAATGAGGTGACCTTGCTGTGTGTACTTCTCCCTGCTGAAGCTGCGCTAGAGCCGCGGTGCGTGACGGGTCAGTCTATTACTGTACTTCCAAAAGCACACTCGTACTCAGAGGTTCCCTGTAGAGACAGAAATGAACCTGCCGTCCAGAGAGGAGTGCGAGGGGTGGGACCAGGCAAAAGTAGCCTTCTTACTGTATAAGGTGAGTCCACTGGAAATGGGAGAGATGCTTGTGTTTTGTCGCACTTTAAATATTCACCAGTTCATTCTGAGGGTCACGTATAATGTTAATGTTAATGCACATAAGCGGCTAAAGTGTTAAAGTAAGACCAGGACATTAGATGACTGGAAGTTAAATGTTTGTTTGATTCAATAAGTGTGTGTAATTAGTCATTTAAAAATAGTGAATGGATATGTTTACTCTCCTCAGAATAATATGCAAGAATGCGCCGTCACCGTAAACAGACTGAAAATTAATGGACAGAGATTTCTGGTGAGTCTTTCCTCATTTGTACCTGAATAATCCAGAAATGGCTCTTTCTCCCACACAGTTACATAATCTACTAATCCACCCAGGATCATATCAGGGTTGTGGTTGTGTTCAGTTTGTTATTCTAATTAAAATGGTCAAATCCTGGCGAGCAGTTGAGGTTGGTTTATTTGTAACACTCTCACTCTCTGTTACTCTGGCAGACATTTTTTTTATTGTTTTCTTGTTAAAATGTCACTGCTTGACGAACACACTTTTACTATGAATCTAAAAGCACGTTTCAAGTTGAAAAACAGGAGAGTTCACAGGATACGAAACATGACAAAAGCCGGTTGCATTACTTCCCACACTTGCTCTTTATGTAAACTGTTGCCCTGCTAATGTGGAAGTCTGTGTATCTGTTGTAACTTCTGCTTTGGTTTCACCCTCGCTGCTCTGTCTCCATCATCCACGCCTTGCGTACAATCTCTGAGGCCTTTCTCATAGCTACCGAGAAGCAGGCTGCCAAACTGAGCGCAGCTGAGTGCCCCTGTTCGGGAGAGAGTAAGGAGTGTGAAATGAGTCTCATGGCTAATAAAGCTGTAATCCCCACTTACTTAAGTAAGTATCTCTAAATCTGCTTCAGTCATGAGGGGGAACGCTGTTTAAAGAGGATTTTATGCAGCAAATAACTGAAGTGAGGGTTTATAACTCCCTAATATTTGGTGTTTTGGGGGATCTTTATAATACTTCAGTAAAAACCTCCCACACACTGCCAAGCCTGAAGAAGCTTTCATTCATATGCATCTTTTAAGTGGACGCTTATGCACACTTCTTGCCACGCTCTAAATTAGAGCAGCGGCCTAGTCGCCTATTCATTATTCAATGACCCTGAGCTAACTCTACTTTAGGTGGGATATTGCATCACTGAAGTGCATAGTTCAAAAAAAAAAGATGCGGATTTTATCAGTCAAATTGATTAATACTTCAGAGCAGAGGCTTTGATGTGCACGTTAACATCACCAATCTGAAATATACATATACATACAGTATGTGTATCGATTGATAGATCTCCTTAGCTATGGATCCAGCCAGTGCACGCTTAAGTAAACCCATGCTTTTATTGAGTGGCTGCCCAGCTTTTTAGTTTAACTAGCTTCAAGGTTGCGGTGTCTGACAGACATTCCCCAGTCAAACTTTTAAGCTTTTTTTTAGCCAGTATTTTTACTGCAGCAAAGGAATTTGATCTATAAATAAAATCCCCAACCAGCTTCTCGATGGATCACTTGTGGATGAAATTTCCTTCTGCTGTTCGGTGTCCTCAGAGGCTGAATCACGCTGACTTTTGTAAACCTCTAACTTTTTCTCCAGTGCCGCAAGAGGAGGTCGACATTTGTGGTTCAGAGCAAAGTGGCTCAACAACAACTGGGTTCACGGGCATAAAATTTCCAGCAAATATTCTGTGTTTTGTTTTGCTCTTGACTTTATACTTTGCTCCACAAGCAGGTTGGCATTTTTAACTATTGTGTAGCATATGCAAGCAATTTGCACA